GACTCACTGGAGAAGAGCCTGATGCTGGGAAAGATTGAGGGCAAGAGAAGAAGGGGACGACAGAGAAGGAGGTGGCTGGATGGAGTCACTGAAGCAGTAGGCGTGAGCTTAAATGGAGGAACATTGTCCATGGGGTCGCGATCGGTCAGACACGACTTCGCAACTAACAACAAATGGAAAAGATTTTTGTTGCACCAAAATGCACAAAGACAACCCATTCAAGTTATGGTTTTTTCTTCTTAATTCCAATCATTACATTAGAAGTAAATCTTTCTCAGTGGTATATGAAATCTCTTTTGTTTTTTTAAAAAAGAGACATTTGAATTTTGAATAAGGTTCTTGTGAGGAAGACCTCAAAAGGGCAAGGAACCACTTTCACATTTGCTCTCTTCACCAGTGCAAAGTCTGGAAACACTATTTGTAACATAGAAGAGCAAAGAAGAAGAGCAGTAAAGCATCATTGCTGACCCAGAGCTGGGACACCACACCTGGATGCATCTCAGTAATTGGTTAGAAGTACATCTTAATAAGGGATGCACAAGCACGAACAAATGCATTTATGGTCCCAATATCTGCAGGCAGATACACCTAGAAAACTCACTAGGTACCTTAGCACAGCGGTATCCAATGACTTGATATTGGTCCCAATAAGCCATAAGTTCAATTGAGCCTACAATGCTGGACATGTTGATAACAGCCGCCTTGCTGCTCCTCAGCCCTTGACATGGGCTTCTCCGGGCTGCCTTCTTCAGCAGGGGTAGGAAGGCCTTGTAGAGAGAAGAAAAGAGAGAAGGAGCTGCAGTCATGTCTAGAGAAAGGAACTGGGCAATGGCAGGGAAGGGTCTTCTGGCACCTGCTGCAAGGGGACCTTCATAGAGTCATCCAAACCACACCCAGGAAAAGTGCTGTGTTCCAACACTCCCTAACAAAACCCCACACCCCTAATGTTTCCACTTGCTCCCAAATCACTGTACAATGTCTACTTTGTTGTTTTGAGCATTGTAGTATTACCGTACTCCCAATTAAAGCATTGAAAGGTGTTTTGTTCATAAAACAAACCTGACTCATTCGTAGTGCACCAATGGTATCGACAGAATAAACTTCCATCATATCTTTGGCATTTGCTGTTTGCAGATCGTTGAAGTCCCAAGTGCCAGCATTGTTGTACAGGATGGTCAGCCCATCTTCTCCAACATACTTCTGCACTTCTTTCAGAGCGGCCTGGATGCTTTCAGGTTTAGTAACATCTAACGAAAAGCAAAATTATTAAAAAGGTCAGCAACCTTCAGATTCAGAATTGCAAAGGATGAATTTCCTGAAACCACAGGAAATTTGTGCAACTAACCATCTTCTGGAATAGCAGCCAGACAGCTTCATCCCCAGCAGTTGAGGGCCTGGAGAATATCAGCAGCTATACAGGAAGGCATGGAGTAAAAGCAAGAACGTTTCTGATCGCACAAGTTGACCTAGTCGCTCTGCTCTGAACTGACTTCCACATAGAGCTAAAGTTACACATTATGCCCAAGTCATGATTGTATAACCCAAACCTATTGCATAAAGTCACAACTGATTCTGTTTCTACAACACTCAAACCCAGACCAACAAATGAGTCAACTGCATGGAGATGGGCAGCTGTAGAAATTGAATAAAATAATTAAAATACAAAGTTACACATGAGGTCTTCCTGATAACTTTGTAAATTAATATAAAGTTTGCCTGATAAAATAATCTAGGACAGGAGTAGGCAGCCTTGGCTCTTTTATGACTTGTGGACTTCAACTCCTAGAATTCCTGAGCCAGCATGGCTCAGCTTGGAAACCTCTCCCTTAATTTGTCAGAGCTATAAAGAGATTCCATCAATTTATTGACTCTTGGAAGAGTTTGGAGTTCAGTTCTGGGAGTTAAATCCACATTATCTTAAAGGTGGTAATTTTGAAAAACATAGCTACAGTCTCCTCCCTTCTCAAAGCAGAGAAAGCAGGGAGTTACTTTAGGTCAGACGCTCATGAATGGTGCTTTATCTGACTCCCACCTCTTGGAAGGAGGAGCAGCTTGTCTATTTTTAACTGGGTGTGTGAATGTGTCGCAAAACAATCTACCCCAACTCAAAGAAACCCATCCACAAACACCAACAAATAAGTTTATCAATCAGCTGACCATATCAACAATATATGAATGGGATGAATTCAACACCAAAGCTGCAGAGCCTTTCTTCAAATGGAACACCCTGGAACCACAGATATGTCCCAGGATACCTCGTTGTTCAAAACGTTCTCCGGAGAAAGCAAGTCTAACATGCGGAGGCGTGTAAGTTAAATTCTTTTATCTCTGGGAAATTGACTTTCATGAAGCCAACCAATGATGTTATAGCTTTGGTTAGTTCTGAGGATAACTAATTTTTGTGGTCTGGACATGCCTGTCATACCAAATTTGCCCCATGTTCACATAGCCTTGGAACTCACCTAATTGCAAGACCACTAGATTTGGACATTTGCAAGCCAGCTCTCTTAGCTCCTGGAGGAAAAAAAAGATGATAATTTTTCTGTGCATTAAAACTCACAGACAATGAGACAGTCAGCTGGATGTGGAAGAGGAAAATCTCAAAAGCAAGAGCAATCAGGAAAACTGTGCAATTTCTCCTTCATTAGACGTCATTTCAATCTCCATTCAACACAATAACTATTGTAGCCCATTGTCCTGCTAGGTGAACTGATTCTTACCTTACTTTTCTCTGCCTCCATATCCCGAGTTGTAGCAAAGACCCATTTGGGTGGACAGGGCAGCTCCAGAAATCTCTTTACCAGACCCAGACCCAGACCCCGATTGGATCCTGTCACCAGAACGCTGAAAACACAGAAATCAACTGGCTCTGCCATTCTTCTTCAGGACTGCAGCTTCTGCTTCCAACCGGTTCAAACATGTGTGTCAAATGGCTCTTCTCATTATGGGAAGCAACTTTATAAGGAACAGACAACACCCACCATTAGATCTTCCAAGGAACATTATTTATTTATTATCAGATTTGTTTGCTGCCAACTCCCACCACAATTAACTTATTAAAAAAACGCCGGATTGCTTGCTACAGCTGAAGGAGCATTCAGCATGGCTGGAAGGCAAGTTGCTGCTCCCTACAATTTGTCTGTGGTTTACTTGCGTCCCCAACTGTAATATACTGTACTTTATAGGACAGCCCTGTCCCTGAATTCATCACTGGAAAAAAACGTTAGTTATTACAGAAAACAGCCCTGCTTACTATAACTGAAGGAACGTTGAGGAAGACGAGCTACAGCCCAGCAATATTTGTGTATGATTTACTTGCATCTTCTGCTGCAATATAGTTGATGGGACAGTCCTAGTCCTGAATTCATCACTGGAAAAAAGATGGCTAAAGCATGCCTTGCCTTAAATCAGTGGTCTCCAATCTTTCTGGCTTGGCTGACAAATGTAGGGAAGAGGTGATTGTTTCACGTGCATGCTGTTTTCACAAATGCAGCTCACCAACCACTTCCGCAGCCCGGTTGCAAATGGGCTGGGCTCCGGGCTGCGGACCGGGGGTTGGGGACCCCTGTCTTCAATGTCATACTTCATGTCATAGCCAATTTGAATCCAGAGGTTGTGGCACATCCACTCTTTTCATGGCCTTCCGCTCTTCCGTTGCTTACACGGCCTTTACCACTTCAGGTACAGATATATGTGTGGATTCACCAAGATTACGATATAGACAAGGATGGAGAAATATTGGAACAGCCTCAATGGAGGAATGGATTAAGAAACTGGCAGAACTGGCACCACTGATTTATTTGGACAGGGACAAAGCAATAAATACTTTTATAAAAGACTGGAAACTTTCTGGACTTTTTGATGGAAATGGGGAAAAAAGTGAAACGATGAAAAAGGACTGAATAAGGGAATTTTGTAATATCGAAGAGGGTGGATGGAAAATTGAGTTTGTTGAAAACTGGAATACAAGGTTGGAACTTGCTTATCTTTTCTGATTCTCATTTCTTAAATTATCTTTCTTTTTCCCCCCTCTTATTGCTTGGCTTTCTTTTTCTGGGTGTGTGTGGGTGTGTTTGTATATTATGTATTTTCATACTTTATAAATCTTTGGAGTCAGTCTTCCCAATTTCCCTAATATTGGACAATTTGTTTTTTTTTAAAAAAAAAAACCTTTCGAAAGAAACAGAAAACAAAACCAAGATTGTTGTGACATTCAGTCATTTATTGGAGGCTCCATCACCTCTCATTCTATTAAGGGTGAGACTGATAGATCACCAGGGAATTGGGCGACCCAACCAATCCAGAAAGGTCCCGTTGTCCTCTTCACAAAGCTTGGACAGCACTGTCATGATGCCTTGCGTGCTCTCTTCCATGCTGATTTCCGGCTGCCGCAAAAAAAGATCCCATGAGGTTTAAATAATTGATCCTGCCCAGCCCAGAACCCTCACCTAAGCAGATCAGAAGAATGCAGTTGGATCTCTTGATCATAAATGTTCAATACCAACAGAGATGGATTTGTATTAAACGGGCCAATCTCATTTTGGCTTACAAAGGTATACGAAGCCAGCCCCTGTGAAGGGCGATGGTGCAAGACATTATGAAAATTCCTAAATGGGTTACTTAAATTAGGTTATTTAAATAGTAGCATAGCCTAAACAGAAAAAAATGATATACCCTATTTTTACACTAGCACATTATTTTATCAAACAAGACAATAAAAACCAAATAATCAAAATACTAAAACTTTCAGGGACTTATATCAGATAATTCATATGCCATAGTTTATCTTTGGAAATACATATATATATCTGAATACATAGAGAGGTGTTATATCATTTCCTACATCAAAAAAAACAACCTTACATCTGGATTAACTTTAGTATTAACTGAGCCAGGATGGATGGCGACACTCATAATCCCATCGGCTGGATACGCAAGAGACTGGCACTTGGTGAGCATGTTTAAAGCAGCCTGCATTGTTGAAAAAAAAGAGCTCTGAGGATACAATAAATTAAAGAGAAAAAGGAAGAAAAACATAAAGATAAATAGTGCATAACAGGAAATTGTTACATGGGGCTGGCAGGGCCTATGAATTACACCAGAATTGAACTAAAAAATTATTTGTAGATACAAAAGCAAAGAAATGTGTATTTTAATTATTTTGCATCTCATGCCAGTGAAAATGTGTGTTGGGGTCTATTTAATAACCTAGCCGGCCTGTCAAAACAATATCCCATCAAACAGTTGGGTTTTTTGCAAATAAGAAGCATTTGTATCTACGCAAGGTAACAATTCCCACCGATATTGGTTTTGACCTGCTTTCCTGATGACATTTTCACTTTTCCACATAAATAAAAATGGCTGAGCACCAAAGAATTGAGGCCTTTGAACTATGGTGCCGGAGAAGACTCCTGCAAGTCCCCTGGACTGCAAGGTGACCAAACCGGTCAGTCCTAGAGGAGATCAACCCCAACTGATCTTTAGAAGGCCACATCCTGAAGTTGAAACTCAAGTACTTTGGCCACCTAATGAGAAGGAAGGACTCACTGGAGAAGAGCTTAATGCTGGGAAAGATGGAGGGAAAGAGAAGAAGGGGACGACAGAGAATGAGGTGACTGGATGGAGTCACAGAAGCAGCAGGCGTGAGCTTAAATGGACTCCAGAAGATGGTAGAGGACAGGAAGGCCTGGAGGAACATTGTCCATGGGGTCGCGATGGGTAAGACACGACTTCGCAACTAACAACACCAAAAATGGAAAAGACTTTTGTTGCACCAAAATGCACAAAGACAACCCATTCAAGTTATGCTTTTTTCTTCTTAATTCCAGTCATTACATTAGAAGTAAATCTTTCTCAGTGATAAATGAAATCTCTTTTGTTTTTTTAAAAAAGAGACATTTGAATTTGGATAAAGTTCTTGTGAGGAAGAGCTCAAAAGGGCAAGGAACCACTTTCACATTTGCTCTCTTCACCAGTGCAAAGTCTGGGAACACTATTTGTAACGTAGAAGAGCAAAGAAGAAGAGTATCATTGCTGACCCAGAGCTGGGACACCACACCTGGATGCATCTCAGTAATTGGTTAGAAGTACATCTTAATAAGGGATGCACAAGCATGGACAAATGCATTTATGGTCCCAATATCTGCAGGCAGATCCACATAGAAAACTCACTAGGTACCTTAGCACAGCGGTATCCAATGACTTGATATTGGTCCCAATCAGACATACGTTCAATTGAGCCTGCAATGCTGGACATGTTGATAACAGCCGCCTTGCTGCTCCTCAGCCCTTGACATGGGCTTCTCCGGGCTGCCATCTTCAGCAGGGGTAGGAAGGCCTTGTAGAGAGAAGAAAAGAGAGAAGGAGCTGCAGTCATGTCTAGAGAAAGGAACTGTGCAATGGCAGGAAAAGGTCTTCTGGCACCTGCTGCAAGGGGACCTTCATAGAGTCATCCAGACCACACCCAGGAAAAGTGCTGTGTTCCAACTCTCCCTAACAAAACCCCACACCCCTAATGTTTCCACCTGCTCCCAAATCACTGTACAATGTCTACTTTGTTGTTTTGAGCATTACAGTATTACCGTACTCCCAATTAAAGCAGTCTTCCTTGCATTGAAAGGTGTTTTGTTCAGAAAACAAACCTGACTCATCAGCAGTGGGCCGATGGTATTGACAGAATAAACTCTCATCATATCTTTGGCATTTTCTGTTTGCAGATCGTTGAAGTTCCCAGTGCCAGCATTGTTGTACAGGATGGTCAGCCCACCTTCTCCAACACACTTCTGCACTTCTTTCAGAGCGGCCTGGATGCTTTCAGGTTTAGTAACATCTAAGGAAAAGCTACGTCATTAAAAACGTCAGTGACCTTCAGTTTCAGAATTGCAAAGGATGAATTTCCTGAAACAACAGTCTCCTCCCTTCTCAAAGCAGAGAAAGCAGGGAGTTACTTTAGGTCAGACGCTCATGAATGGTGCTTTATCTGACTCTCACCTCTTGGAAGGAGGAGCAGCTTGTCTATTTTTAACTGGGTGTGTGTGTGTCACAAAACAATCTACCCCAACTCAAAAAACCCCAACCACAAACACCAACAAATATGTTTACTGATCAATCAGCTGACCATATCAACAATATATGAATGGGATGAATTCAACACCAAAGCTGCAGAGTCTTTCTTCAAATGGAACACTCTGGAACCACAGATACGTCCCAGGATACCTCGTTGTTCAAAACGTTTTCCGGAGAAAGCTATTCTAACATGTGGAGGCATGTAAGTTAAATTCTTTTCTCTTTGGGAAATGGACTTTCGTGAAGCCAACCAATGATGTTATAGCTTTGGTTAGTTCTGAGGATAACTTTGAATTTTGTTGCCTGTTGTACCAAATTTGCCCCATTTTCACATGGCCTTGAAACTCACCTAATTGCAAGACCACTAGATTCGGATATTTGTAAGCCAGCTCTCTTAGCTCCTGGAGGAAAAAAAAAAGATGATAATTTTTCTGTGCATTAAAACTCACAGACAATGAGACAGTCAGATGGATGTCGATGAGGACAATCTCAAAAGCAAGAGCAAGCAGGAAAAGTGTGCAATTTGTCCTTCATTAGACGTCATTTCAATCTCCATTCTACACAATAACTATTGTACCCCATTGTCCGGCTAGGTGAACTGATTCTTACCTTACTTTTCTCTGCCTCCATATCCCAAGTTGTAGCAAAGACCCATTTTGGTGGACAGGGCAGCTCCAGAAATCTCTTTACCAGACCCAGACCGAGACCCCGACTGGATCCTGTCACCAGAACGCTGAAAACACAGAAATCAACTGGCTCTGCCATTCATCTTCAGGACTGCAGCTTCTGCTTCCAACCTGTTCAAACATGT